AGAAGTCAGTTGTACTTTATTCTTTCCCTTTATTAGGTCCCCCCATCTTTTTTTTTTTTTTTAATCCAGGAAATGCCTTACCTTGGCTCACTCTGGCATTAAAACATAGAAGACTGATCATGTTTGGGTTTTCTTTCCATCGTCCCCTTCCTATGTAACTAACACACACGGTGATAAACATAGGACATCATCACCATCTGATGAGCATACTTCTCTGAAAGTTCAGGAGCCTGACAAAGGAGGCTTCCCAAAATCAAGAATACCTCAAAGCTGCAATGGATGTGGCAACTCCCAGAGACCAGCAACCCAGATTCACCTATAAGTGTCTTTAATAGTAAACTTCAAATCACAATTCTATTTTGGGGTATGTGAGTACTTTTCAAGAAATATAAGAACAGGGATCATTTTATGGAAATCAATTTCACATCTTCAACTTCCTTATGAACTCTTTGCTAAAATAAGCCTGTGAAGGTGCCATTCATAGGCTACCGTCTTCTACCTTTTCCTACATGAAAACAAGCTCATCTCTCACCCATAAGTTTATGATGATGTATGTGCAGACAATTTTCCATGGGGTTCTCATGTTTCTGTAGGCCTTGAGAGTGAAGCACTGACTGCCCTTAGTTCAGGACCATCCTTCAGGGATGTCTGTATAGCAAGCATCCTTGGAAGAGTGTCTTTCTTCCCTGTAGAGACAACCCTGCTACTGTGACTATAATAATTGTCTTGTCTTCTGCCAACATCCATGTTTGTGGCAGAATAGCTTGTTAGCCAACAAGTAGGGGGAGACCAAAAAATTAGGAACCCTTGTTCTTAATATGGGGTATTATTGTAAGATGTAAAAATTCCTGTTCACCAAAGAAAGGAACATTGAGACAATTTCTTTAATCAAGTCACCATAAACAACATACCTATTCATTTGAAAGATATATTTCAAATTAAATGTAACTTTTATGCTTAGCATATATTTTCTAATGCATATATATATCATTTGGTCATTAGCTCTTAGAACCTATGGTAACACAACATTTATATATATGTATGTATATGTATACACACACATTTAGAAGAGCAATTAACATTTTATTTTAATGTCAATAATTGCAGTATATAATAAAACCCATCTTCGGGGCGAAACAAAATAATTTCAGTTTTTTGACAGTGCTAGAGATTGAACACAGGGTTTCATGCATGCAATCTACCATTGAGACATATCATACCCCATTCCCTAAACAAAATAATAATTTTAGGGGTTTTTTTCCATAGGAAGGTATACAAGTGCCACAAATTTAAAGACTATTCAGTAGGTTATCATTTAAACATCAGAGAGAACATTCAACCTTTGTTTTTCCCGGATTGATTTATTTCACTTAGCATGATAGTCTCCAAATCCATACATTTACCTGCAAATATCACAAAGTCATTCTTCTTTATAACTGAGTAATATGAGGAGAATAGAAGTTCTGTGGTTTAGACACAAGGGAATCAAGGAAAGGGAGGGAAGATAGGAATAGGAAAGGCAGTGGAATGAATCGAATATCACTTTCTTATGTACATATATGAATACACCACAGTGAGTCTCAACATCACATACATCCTAATTAGAATAAGATACATTTTATGTTTGTATAAATATATCAAAATAGATTCTACTGTCATGTATAACTAAAAAGAACAAATAAAAACTTAAAAAATAATAAAATAAAAGCTATTCAGCACTTCACTGGTTACAGCCCTCGCCACTCGTGGCTACCTGGGTGGTTGGAGCCAGACTGCTTAACTACAAGCACCAACCAAGCAAAGAATCACATTGGTTTTCATTAACTTTTATCACCACCCTTCACATAGTCAATTTTTAATAGTTGTTAAATGAATGAATGCTGAACACTAGGAAGGAGTCGTTTCATATCCTGTCGTCTTCTGCTGGGGGCGGTGGGTCAGGAGGGCAGCTCCAACACTGGCCTACCCTGGAGTAACTAAGACCAAGATGACCCTGGGGGAAAGGAGTGTCCTATACTGCCATGTCTGTTCAAAAAAGAAATGATCCTAGGCCTAAAACCTAGAATGTCAACCAGCTGAGTCACTGTAAGTCTCAGATCACACCACTTATCAGATTTTCTAATTTAACTGCATTCCAGAATTTCTCTGTTGTTTCCAGACTAGCAAAAGCAGAATTCACCTTATGGACAAAGTTAGCAAAAACCTTCAACTATTTTCCTCTCCTAGGTCAACAGCAGATGCCATCCTACATTCTTCTGCTGCTGCCACTGTGTGCTAAGCACACTCTCAGAATGTACTCCCATACAGTTGCTCCCGAGAACCCTCCCTGAGTTATACCAGGGCTAAGAGTACCACCTCCAGGCCTGGATGTTAGAGAGCTACAGGAAAGGGAGCCCATTTGTCTCTCCATCTTCTAACCTGATATCTTACACATACCATATGGTTTTAAATGTAAAGTACCCCAAAAACAGACCTTGTCATCAAAAGCAGACTGAAAAATATGCAAACAGTCAAAATACTTGCATTAATTAAGCCTTATGGATTTATGTGATACCAAGAAAAGTCTCTACAGGCAGAAGTGCACGTCAAGCCTATTTCTTCTGACTCATTTCCTCTGGAGAAGCTGCTTAGAATAATTCAGGCAAAAGGCCATGAAATAATTGCATTGGTAACAGGAACCTGGTAGAAAAGCAGAGAGGGAATTGCTAAATTAAACTGTACCTACAGGGCTTTCTTGGGGAGTCACATGGTATGTTCCTTCTTTCTCACTAAGAAAGGAGAAAAATAACTTTTTCCTTAAAGAAAAAAAAATCAGGGGCTAATTTAATGATTTCACACACTAATTTAAACAAATAGAATAAGAATGATCCTAATAAAACATTACATAGTAAAACTACTCTTGGAAATATTTATTAGGCCAAATTATCTGCTAGACACAAACAGCACTGCTTGGCTTAGTTGGCTAAAGGTCCTGTGTGTTCAAAGTGGCTAGGCTTCATTGTGTTCACACCATTAGTGTCAAAATTGACACACACACACACACACCCAATACATATTCTTACTTACTGAAAAAGATGAACCGGTTGTAAAAACAATCAAAACGAATACTTCCAGATGCTACTTCCCCAAAGTGGGTCAGAGACCACTGGGGCATATTCTGGCTCCCTGAGACATGGGTTGGGGTGGTGAATGGAGTGGAATTGGTGAGGGCAATATCAGAAACTAAGAGAGGAAGGAAGGGAAAAGGGAAATGGAGAGAGGGAAGAGGAAAGGTGGAGGAAAATACTCAACAGTAATGAAGACAGAACCAGGAGAAAAAAAGAGAAAGTCATAATATTTATACAGAAGTATCTTGAGGAGAGAGGGGAAAATGGCTGCTTTGCTTCAAATTTGAGGTTAAACATAAGAGGCAAAAATCCTTAAAAATTCATGTTTCTTTTAAAATTCTACAGCTTCTCTGGAAGATGCTAAGGAACTAATTCACTATTTTTAAAGCTGGTTTTAAAAAAGACAAAAGGAAAAATCAGATTTATCAAGCCATTCCTATATAATTGTACTTCAAGGTAACCAAATATTGGGAGATGAAATTTCTCTTTGTAAATATATTCTGGCTAATAAAAAAGGAAAAATTTAATTAGAACATAACCAGATTGTAGCTGATATAAACTATCTAGAAGACACACATCCATAATCACAGTTCAAGATTTTTTTTTAATAAATTTTTTAGTTGTAGTTAGACACAATATCTTTATTTTTATGTGGTGCTGAGGATCAAATCCAGTACCTCACACATGCTAGGCAAGTGCTCTACCACTGAGCCACAACCCCAGCCCACAGTTGAAGACTTTAACACACTTCTCTCAACAACTGATTGATCAATCAGACCCCTAAAAAATGAGTTAATGGAGAATAACTGAAACAATGCTATCAACCAACCACAAAAATTTGGGAATAAAGAACCACAAAGATTCTAAAAGAGGAAGAGTGGATGTGTTGGCTAGGCATTTATCTGCCTCCTCTTCTAAACTAGCTCTTTAAATGCTATTCAAATTTCATATGTAAGCATAGGTTGGTCATAGACTTAAAAACAAAAAAAAAAAAAAAAAGGAGAGATGTCAAGTTTAAGGGAAGAGGGGCTCATCTTTTATTTATACAGCTTTTGAACACCAGTTTTCAAAGTCTTTTTTATATGAATGATCTCATGACAGTCTTACTCTATCCTTTGAAAAAGGCAACCCATATTTTCATATCCCATTTTACAAAAAGAGAAATTGAACTCAGAGGCTAACTTGCCAAAGAAATACAACCCATAAGTCAGCTGCTAGATCAAAAGGGTGGACATGGTTTAAAGATCACCTGACTGAATCCACTGGGAGTACAGTGAAGGACCAATTATTTCTTGAAAGCAAATTTTCCCAATATGTCCAAAAGTACAAAGCAATTATAAAAAACGTATTGGCTCCTCAGTTAAGAAATAGGCTTTTGGCTGGGGATGTGGCTCAAGCGGTAGCATGCCACCTGGCATGCGCAGGGCGCTGGGTTCAATCCTCAGCACCACATAAAAATAAAGATGTTGTGTCCACCAAAAACTAAAAAATAAATATTAAAAAAAATTCTCTCCCTCTCTCTCTTTAAAAAAAAAAAAAAGAAGAAGAAGAAGAAGAAGTAGGCTTTTTTTTTTCCCCACACACACACTACCCAAAATGATGTATTGGATAATAGATTGGACCTGAGAGGACAAAGCTGTACACATTCACCCTATGTCCAAACAGAACCCTCAAAAGAAACACTCCTTGAGGGACTTCTTTGGCAGACTTGGTGCTGACCATGCTCCCAGCTACCCAGAAAATCATAAGGTTGTGGTTTTAGAAATGAATTTCAAAGTAGATAGTCAGCAGGGAATGTGCAGATTTACTCTTCCAATTAGAAAAACACAGGTGTTAGAGATCATCTTCTTACTGTATTTAGAGGATAAACCTGAGAGTAAAAATGACTCTTTCTTCACTTAAACCAAAATGTTTTTTAATATGAAAACTTTTTTGGAGGGTTTAAGAAATCATTAGAATATCAATATTTAATCTTCAGAATCCCTCAGTACAGTCTATGACAGCTGCAGTGATTCATGAATTGTCTTAGATTTTAATATTTACATCTGCCTTCTGTTCCTTGTAAATTCTTTTTTGTTTAAAAAATAAACATACAATTCAAATATGTATGCATTTGACAGCTTAAGTGTCACATATGTTTTATTTACACCCCTCTGTGTTCCACTGAAGCACATATTATTTTAGGTACATGGGAGAGCCCTATCATTAAGGCTAATGGTGGTTTTATCCAGGGGAAAAAAATACACAAACACTGAGGAATATTTTTCAGTTCCTTGGCAAAGTACAAAAAAGAAGAAAAATGATTTGACTCTTTAGTTCCAACTGTTTTCAATTTTTTAAGTAAGGTCAATGTTGTAAAATCTGTTCATATTTTTATAGAACCTGAGTGAATAAAATGCAGAGATAAATCACTACATTCTATTTAAAGCAAACTGGCTTTTTACAAATCATATGATGAGAGAGAAATAAAGAAAAACACATATTCTCTCCAGAAAGTAGGCGGGTGTGTTCTTCTACCAGGAAATCCAGACTAGGTGGGCAGTCCTCCCACTGACTTGGAGGCTCCCTGGCTCTGCTGATGTTGCTGGTGTGTCCTCCTTGGACACCCAGTGCAACAGTGGGTCTGCATAATCATGAGAAACAGCACTCAGCTGGCTGTAACATTTTACACAAACTTTGAAAGAACTACCAAGTAGTAACAACTTGGTTATTCTTTCTGGTTCCTTTTTACTCTGAAACAGTAACGGAAATGAAGGATTTTAGAGTCCATTATGCCTTTACTATTCCACTGACTTCTCCATGAACACCTACTGAAGGAAAATGATGAGGCAGACAGTGCTAAGATGTAGCACTGCTACTAAACATAATTTGCAGAAGGCAGACATGAAACCCAAGTTCAGATGTGCTAAGTACTCAGTTAATTACTCAACTATGAAGAGGTCTTCTGAAAGCACAATTGATTTTTAGCAAATGCAAGGCATCAAGACCTTCATTTTGATTTTATAAAAGCAGGGCACATTGTATGAGAAGCTAAAGTGGTTGAAAAACCAACACTGATACTTTCTGAGCCTAAAAATAACCAGGGAGTGGAGCCAAAGATGAACATAGATTTCAGCAAAAAAGTGATAACAGTCAAAGAGATAGTACGAAGAAGAAACCCCACGATGGCTTACGCTGACTTTAAAACAGTGAAAACTTCAAACTTTAAAAAGGCAAAAACAAATGCAGTTTGACATATAAATCACTCCAAAAGAACCAATGGCCATTAGAGTTGCCATGAGGATCATCTGAACTGTTAAAAGCTGACATTACGCTACCAATCTGATTCACCTTTAATTGCAATGACAGAAAATGTTCAGTCCACATAAAATAGAGGAAAAATACAGGAGAAAATACTGGAACGACTTTGCTGAACCATGGAGATACACAGCAGTCCATGATCACTTCCCAGATTACTCTTTGGATACTTAATTCAACTGGTCTTAATTGCTTACAAAGTGTACAACACAATTAGAGAGGATTTGTCTTTAATACTGCTCTGAAAGAAGCATGAATGGACGTAAATTCTAGCCACATACCACTGCAGATCATCAGAGCAATTAAGAACACAAATTCCAGTCTTAAAAATCTCTTACACAAATCACTGGCTAACCTTTGGATCCAGGTTTCAGACTTGCAAAAACTTTGGGGTTCTTAAGGGCAAGTGAGAGCTCATTGAGGAAGGAAATAAAGTGGGAGTCTCGTTCAGATTTTTTTGACTCAAAAATGACAACAATGGTAAAGTGAGGTTCTGGGCGGGTAAGGAAGTAGGTACTCTGAACTTTGTCATCATAGAAATGAACCACTTTCTCCAAGCTGTTCAGGTCTGTTGTCCGGTCTGTCATGATCATGATGACATTGGGCCAGTGCATGACTGGCCTGTCACTGGGCAGAGACACCACGGCTGGATACTGGTCCACACCCTTAGGGGCCTCCCTGTAGGAATGGGGGTGGTGGTAGCCATGACCCTGAAAGCTCTCTGAACCTCGGTTGTCAAAAATTAAGGACACGTTGGCAGCATCATATTTCCTGATGAAGCTGCAAATCTTTCCAAACAGGTCTGGGTTAGCTTTTGCAGTCAATGCTTTCATTTCTGAAGCTGTCGTTTGCCGGCTCAGTGCCTCATGAAAGTAAAAACTAAACTTGGCCAGGAGCATGTTTTTGAGTTTCATCAGCCAAAGGAAAAGGTGTGGGGGCTGAACAGCCTTCTGAGACTGCCCTCCAAACAGATGTTTCTTCGTCTCCCGCTGCTTTTCAAAGATCTGGCCCCAAGTCTGAAGCTTAGTGTGAGCACTGTGCAAGTTAACCAGAGATGGGAGGAACTTCCACTCTGAGACCTGGGCCTGGGCCTTCAGGAGATGACTCAGGACATCGACTTCCAGCTGGAAACTGCTCTCCAAAGGGCTGAGGATTGGGTGGTGAAACCTACAGGAGAGATTAGAAATCAGGGGAACATTACTCCACATTGATGTTTCCTACCTTGAAAAAAAAGCCCACATGGCCAAAAAATATTATTATTTTGAGGACAGGGAAAGAAAGATGAAAGAATTCCACATTGTTTTATTTTAAGAATTATGTTACCATCATATATTATGGAAATAGCCTGGAGTTTTGTTTTTTGTTTTGTTTTGAAATGAGAGTGACTACCTTTTTTAGAAATAAAGAAATAAAATTTGCTATTAGTCTTTCTTAACTTAATTTATTCTGAGAATTGTATGACTAACTATCATCAAAACAAGGCATCCTCTTTTCAGGGTGGTTCTGCAGAGGTACAGATTTAAAAAAAAAAAAAAATGTTACTAAAGGGGATAGGACTGGGGCTCAGTGGCAGAATGCTTTTCTAGCACATGTGGGGCACTGGGTTAGATCCTTAGCACTGCATATAAAAATAAGCACATAAAATAAAAGGCATGCTGTCCATCTACAACTATAAAAAAAGTTTTTTTTAAATTCACTAAAACATCTGTTGAGTACATACATAAAACAGATAAAGTCATTTGTTATACTCCACGAGGCATTATTAAACCTATTGTACAAATAAGAGTACACACTATAAACCTATATATGCAACTTAGTAGACAATCAATAAATGTTTATTAAAGAAAAACAGACAGCATTTACTAGACAGCCCTTATTCAATCCTAGTTCCAAATTCCCTTCATATTTAATCCTGGTTGAAAGATAAATGGTGGGGGCTGGGGTTATGGCTCCCTGGTAGAGTGCTTGCCCAGTATGTATGAGGCACATGGGTTCAATTCTCAGTACTACATATAAATAAAATAAATACACATTGTCAACTAAAAATATTTTTTAAAAAGCTAAATGGTGGCCAAATAAGAAATACCTAACAATCACTAATTAAGTAACTGGAAGAAAATCATCACAAGTACATCTAAAGTTTTTAAAAAATCTATTTATATACTCATTAAAGGGATTATGATTAGGAGAGTCACGTATCAGGTTGGACATTATAAGATAGAAACTGATTTTCATGTCAAAAAAGAATAGTTATTCACATAAAAATAACATTATTGTCATTTATTATCCACATTTTATCCTCAACATCCTCAAAATGTGGAAGTTAAAATACTAATGGAGGGTCAAGTCTAATAATATACTAAAATAATCAAAAGATAAGCCAGATTTCAAAATCTTTTCGCTCACATGCTTTATTAATTTGTGTTCTTCAAACATTACACACTTGGGAATAAATATTCAGGAAGTCAAACAAACACACACACATACACGTGGTAGCATAAGTCTCAAAAGTATTGAATTCTATGAAAGGTTCCTACCACCTCGGTCTTCAGGCCCCTTGGTGCTTATGAGCATTAAATACCACAATATTCTATAATCATGGCTACAAGGAAAATCTGCCAAGGAACCATGAACATGGAACAATTAATCAGAGGAAAATGGTATGCAGTTGGAGAAAACCCTACTACAGATGTTCCCTGAATGACAATGTCAATATCCCAGTAAATCAATACTCAATTGAAAATATCTTAAGTCAAAAATGCATTCAATACACCTAACCTACAGAACATCATCTCTATGTAACAGTATACTGGGGAGTATAGGTTGTTTACCTTGTGACCATGACTAGCTGTGAGTGTGGCAAGCTACCAGTGTCCAGCACAAGAGAGTAATATACTACATATCAGAAGCCTGGGAAAAGATCAAAATCCACAATTTGAAATATGGTTTCCAGTGAATGTGCATCACTTTTGCATTATTGTAAAGATGAAAAAATACAAGTCAAATCAAATCAATTGTAATTCAGAAACCATCTATAAAATAATATTTCTGATACTTTTCTACTATTTTCAGTTGGAAATCATCATTTATATCCAGTGCTGTCCTTGAAAGGACATGAATTCTCTGTATAACCTTCAGAAAGAATTCTGAACAAGCTCTTTCATAACACATACTAAAAGTGTTTAAATGCTCGACATTTATTAAAGATGAATGTGAATGTCGAATCTATTTTTCATTTTCAAGAAGAGCTAAAAATTCATGTTGATGTTAGTCTGCCAAGACACAGAGATTAGTATTATGATGCATCATTTCCCTGTTTCCACTCTGTGTGCTTCATAGTTATTCACAACTCATATTATAGGGGGATCTGTTAAATGGTTGTAATCCAAAAACAGATACCTAAGCTACAGCAGCAAGCCTGAAAAGAGTCTAGATACAGAAGAAACTGACAATTGTTTGCAGAAAACATTTGCTCTAAAGAAGGTAGGAAAGGGATGAGGGAAGGTGAGTCGGCATGCTCCACAAAATAGAGGAAAATATAAAAGAAGTTTGTATAATATTCTAATGAGGAACAAAATTCCACTTGAGAAACAGTACCTTTCTCAAATCTACATCATGAGTTCCTTTCAAAAGATCTATGATGGTCCCATGCATGTGAGAAGCCAGAAGTCCAATTAAAAATAAATCTAAAGCACAACTGTAAATATACTAAAAGCCACAGAACTGCATACTTAAAGATGGTTAAAATGGTAAATTTTGTTCTGTCCATTTTACTACAATAAAAAGAAATCTATAACCTCTTTTCATTTAAAATGATTAGTTTATTGATTTTCAGAAGCCAAAACATTGAGGATATAGTAGTTTCCCCAGCTGTGGGGCATATGTTCCAGGACCCCCAGTGGATGCCTGAAATCTCATAGTACTGAACTCTATGTATACTTTTTTTTTTCCTATACATGCCTATGATAAAAGTTTATCAACTAGGCACAGCAAGATAGTAACAACAACTAATACTAAAATAGAACAATATATCATAATATAAATTATGTGCATGTTTTCTCTCTCTCTCAATTGCCAAGGAGTGGGTAGCTTATACAGTACGGATATATGGGAAAAAAGGATGATTCTCATTCCAACCAGACAGTAAGAAATTTCATCATGCTACTTAAAACAGCATGCAATTCAAAACTTACAAACTGTTTATTTCTGGAATTTTCCATTTAATATTTTTAATCATGACTGACACGTGGACAACTGAAACCAAATAAAGCAAAATCATGGAAAAGGACGGACTACTGTAACAAAGAAGAATTAGCCAGAGATTTGCCCTACAGGACCTTCCACAGTAGAAGGAGGTATTTATAATAAAAAGTAGAGAGTAATACATTTATAATGAAGAATAAAAGTAAAATAATAGTTTAGAGGAAAGACTAATTCTTTTCCGTTGAATTATTGTAGAGGCCATAGAGGAAATGGCATTTGAATTCAGCCATGATGTTTAAATAGGTAGAAGCATCTAAGAGGTAGAAGCCCAATGACAGGTGAACGGATAAAGAAAATGCAGTATATACACATTATGGATTATTATTCAGCCTTAAAAAATAAAATCCATAGCCATGCATGGTGGTGCACGCCTGTAATAACAGTGGCTTGGGAGGCTAAGGCAGGAGGATACAAAGTTCAAAGCCAGCCTCAGCAAAAGCGAGGTACTAAGCAACTCAGTGAGACCCTGTCTCTAAACAAAATACAAAATAGGGCTGGGGATGTGGCTCAGCAGTCAAGTGCCCCTGAGTTCAATCCCCAGTACCCCTTCCCCCGAAAAAAGAAAAGAAAGTCCTCTTACATAGTACAACATAGAAGAAACTTGAAAACATTATGCTAAGTGAAATAACCCAGTCACAAAAAGATCAAACTCATAGAAATAGAAAATAGAATGGTGGTTGCCAGTAGGAGGGTCAGGGAGCAATGTTATTCAACGGATGTAGTAGGATTTCAGTTTTACAATATGAAAAATGGGTTTAGGATTTCAGTTTTATAAGATGGAAAAAATTCTAGAGGTGGGAGGCATAGCTCAGTGGTAGGGTGATTGCCTAACATGCTTGAGGTCCTGGATTCAATCCCCAGCACTGGAGGGGAAAAATTCCAAAGAGCTATTGTATAAGAATGTGAATATTCTTAACATTACTGAGCTGTAAACTTAATAAAGATTAAGATGGTAAATTTTATTTTTTTTTAAACCATAATAAAAAATGGGGGAAAAAGAGTAGGTGGAATTTAGCCATGTGAAGATGGGGTCTTGATTTTCTGGCCTCCAATTCTTACCACCCTTGATTCCACACCCTTTGCTGCATAACTCTGCCGCTATTTCCAAAAGCACCAGAGAGTACTATCTTACCCCTGGACTAACTACTAGGTCATGTGACTTGATTATGGCTAAAGAGATATTAACAAATCTGATGCAAGCAAAGGCTTTAAATGAGCTTGGTTGAGTTTATTCTTTTGCACTTTGAACAGTGCTCCTGGTTAGAAGCTTCCCCTCCAACCCTGGCCTCAGATTGAACACGTGGAGGAGACTTAAGCCCAAAGCTCACAGCAAAGAAATAAGCCAGTAAGACCAACAGTGTTATGCAGAGCTACCCAAATGAACCCAGCTCAGACAATCCCTCTAGGGGACAGAATAATGGGTCAATTTGGGAGTGGTTTGTTACATGAAATTACTGTGGCAATAGCTAACTGATAGATTATAGAATAATGAATGTACATTATAAACATAATAACAAAAAAAGGACCCAAAACAGAGACAGGAAATGACAAATAATTATGAGAAACATTAAATTATGAATTGTTTTTTTACTTTTGCTTAAAATCTTCAGTGACTTCTGTTTGGAGCCTCTTCCTCTAAGAATTTTGCTGCAATTTAAGGCATCTGATGGGCAGTGGTAAATGAACTTGAAAAGGTAAGCTCAACAAAATCACAGAAGACTTCACTTAATTCTTCATGTTAAGATCTAGGCACGTCAAATGCCTAGATAGATGCTACCACAGAAGTAATACTATTATTGATTTTGCCTATGGAATTTTTAGTGGGAAATAATTGATGATGTTGAATTATACATGTGAAACTAACAAACTATTTCATTAACAGTCTCATTATCACAACTCATTTC